ACATTCTGTTTCTTTGTTACTAATGTTGTGGCCCCACCCCATAACAAAGAAACAGAGTTTCCGGAGGATGAGGCCCAGAAATCAGGATTTTAAAAAGATTCCCAGGTGATTCTAATGTGCAGCCAAGGTTGAGAACCACTGACCTAAAAAATAACAATATTGGTGAGGACGTGGAGACATGGGGACCCATGGGCACTGCTGGTGGGAATGTAAACAGTGCAGCCACCGTGGAAAACAGCATGGCAGTTCCTCAAAAATTAAAACAGTTACCATATGATCTGGCAATTCCATTTCTGGATAAACACCCAAAAGAATTGAAAGAAGGGCCTCTAAGAGTTATTCGTACACCGATGTTCATAGCCACATTATCCACAATAGTCAAAAAACAGAAATAACTCAAGTGTCCATCTATGGGTGAATGGATAGGCAAATGTGGAATATGATTCAGTCTTAAATAGGAAGGAAATGCTGCAATATGTCACAACATGGATGAACCTCAAGGACATTTGCTCAGTGAAATAAACCAGTCACAAAAGGGCGAGAACTGGGTAACTCCACTCACACGCTGCCCCCAGAGCAGTCAGGTTCGTAGAGATAGGAAGTAAACGGAGGGAGCCGGGGCTGGGGGAGGCGGTAGTTGTTTAATGGGGACAAGATGCAAAGATGAAGAGTTCTAGAGATTGGCTGCATGAAAATGTGCGTGCACCTACTGCTGCTGGACTATACACTTAAAAAACTGCTAAGATGGTAAGTTGTAAGTTTTGTTGCGTGCATTCTGTCACACACACAAACAAGACCAGTGGAACTCCCTAGCTGTAATTTGAAGACACGGGTGAAATGGGCAGTGAGTCCTCATTCGGGTCGGCTGTAAGGGTGGGCTTATTCTCGGCCCTGTACCCTAGGGAGGCCGCAGCCAGCCTTCCTGCAATCACGGGACAGTGAAGCCGAGTGCCCTGTGCCTGTGGAAATGGTGGCCCTGGGGCTTCGGGGCCCGCGAGTGGGCCTGGCGGGGACCCGGCCGTCTCCGTACCTTCTTGGCAGCCAGCAGCAGTTCCACTGCCTTCTCATACTGGTTGTGCTCAAGGAAGAAGTCCGAGCAGCGGGCCAGGAGGGCAGGGTCTGACTTCTCATCCAGGTCCTCTGCGATGAGCTGCAGGGCCCCAAACTGCTGGGTGGCAAAAGCCAGCTCCAGGGCCTTGGAGAAGTGGCCGGCCTGTGGACGGCAGGGGAGCTCTGAGCAGCTGCCGGACGCCTGGATCCGGAGACCGCTGGCGTGGTCCCCTTGCACCCAGGCAAGTCTCCTGTTCCCAGGAGCCCCGTGCTGCCCCCCTTCGGGTCCAGGGCAGGGCCGCCCCTCACCTTGTGGTAGAGCATGACCGCTCTGTCCATCTGCTCGCCCTTCTCCTCGTAGTAGCATGCCACCTCAATCATGTCCTTGGGGGAGCTCAGCAGGGCCAAGTTCATGAGCTGGTCATCCAGGCCATTCTCCTGTGGGAAGGGGGCGGGCAGGGCTCAGAGGTCCCTGCTCCGGTCTGCGAATGCTGCCGTGCAGGGCCCATCTTCCCTGTTTGACACACACCAATCCACGTGATCGTGGTTTCCAATGCGTGTCATGTCTTACTGGGTGAGTGTAGCAGAATTTTCAGAGGTTTCCTTCTCCCCCTTATTATACAGAACATTGTGGGAACTAATTTACGTGAGGGCTTTGCACATTTTGGATTTCCCAGGAGTGAGGCCCTGGGCGGGAACGCTGTCATGGATGCACAGTGCGCAGCAGCGTTCTGTGAAAGGCCGCCTGTGGACAAGGCCATAGTGAGCCAGCCTCAGCGCGGGCTCAGGAGCCCGGGGACATCACAGTGACTCCTCCTTGCTTTACAAACACCATCAGGCAGGGGAGAGCAGAGATGGGGAAGGAGGGGCAGAGACCAGTGTGACAGGCAGAGTGCGGCCTGAGTGGTAGAAGCCAGCCCAGGTGGGCGATGCGATCGATGCTCATGATACAATTCTCCACCTTTTCTGTTTGGAAATCTCGTCATCGACTGTGGGAAATGATGACAAAGCACCGTTTCCCATTTTCCACCTGCCTGGGTGTCACAGCTTCCGCCCGCTGCTCCGTGTGTGCTGCACGTGGCCACCTACCTTGCACAGGCGGATGGCGTTGTTGAAGGCCTGGGCACGCGTGTAGAAGTGCACTGCCTGCCTCACCTCCTCCTGGCTCTCGTACTGCCGGGCCAGGTGATAGGATGCAGCCCAGTTTCCTGTCTCGTTGGCGATTTCGGCAGCCTAGAAAACGGGCAGAGAGACCCGGTGGTCTGCCTGCAGCTCACTCCCCCCCATAGGGTCGACTTCCCCAACAGGGCCCACTCTCAGGACGCGACTACCTTCTGAATGTTGCCCTGGAAGCAGTGAATGCGGACCAGGGAGAAGTAGTCTTGTGTCAGCTCATAGTAGCGCAGCGCGGCGTCCATCTCTGCCTGGCTTTCCAGGTACTGGGCCCACCACCTCCACAGGGTCCTGCGAGCAGCCCACAGGGATCCCTCAGGTCCCCACTCCCACTGGAAATGAGCCCCGGGTCCCAAATGCCACCCTCAGAGTACACTTCCCATGGCCCGCAGCCAGGAGGCGTGGAAGCTGGCGGACAAGAGTGAGGTCCCCGAGGTCTGAAGGAACCATGTCCAGAGGTTCCTTCCCTGCGACCCCCCCATCGACCTTCCCCACCCAGCATCCTAGGATCTGGCTCTGAGGGACCAAGAGGGTGATGCACACTCTCACATGTAAAGGTCCAGGAGGAGGTTCCCTGAGCAGCCCTGGGCCCCCGGCCCCCATAAGCCAACCCAGCTTCCCCTGCATGTCCCCATGGGGGACACTCACTTGTCCTTCATCTTATTGATGTAGAGCTCCAGGGACTGCAGGTCCTCCGAGAGCATCCTGGGCACCTCAAAGCGGTGGGTGTCTGACTTCTCGTAGCTGCAAGAGGAGAGGGAGCAGCTGGTTCCCACGGTCTCAGCCATGTTGCATGCACGGAAACAGGCCTGAGCCTCTCTCCTGCCTACAGCTCTGTGGCCCATGGACCCGCTGCCAGGAGACAGTGGGGTTTCCTCGCTGCTCTGGGCCTGCCCTAGAGAGGGCTCAGCTGTGGCCGGGCCCCCAGGCACCACCACCAGCACTGCCTGGGAGGCATCACGCTGGACTGGGGCTGCAGCAACGCCACCAGCGAGCCCAGGTCTCAGCATGCCCAGGGCCCGAGGCAGCCAGGGGAAGCCAAGGCCCTGCCTCTGAGGTTCTCTTAAAGCAACAGCTCAAGCTCCCCTTGGAAGACACCCACTGAGGTCACCACATGCCCTAAGAAGGTGCCTCTATCTAGACTCTTCCTCTGAGAACCTCTTTGGCCACCTCACTGGGGCAGAGAAAAAAGCAAGAGGCAACCAGGGTCTGTCCCAGGGTGTGGGAGAGCCCCCCGCTCACTAGCTGAGGGCCAGGCTGCAGTCAGCGCTGGCCTCCAGGTGCTTGGCGTAGTTGTAGTAGGTGGTGCGCAGGTGGACGCGGTCCTGGTGTTCGGCGACTTCTATGGCTTTTTGCCACTGACCGGAGGCCCGGTAGAGCTTGTTGAGAAGGTCGTAGCGCTGGCATTTCTTGTACAGCTGCTCAGCCTCCTCCTGAAGAAGGGAGTGCATGTCAGCGCGGCCACTGCTCTGGCCCCCACACGACCCACCGCCGACGCCACACGTGCTGCCAACCAGCCCATGACCGAGGACAGACGGACACTTCAGGCTGTGTTCTAAGACCTACACGATGAATGCTGCATGCCGATGTGGCATCCCATCTCCACGAGCTGAGCCCACCCAGGCCTGTGTCCAGTGGGGATGTCTTTGCCGGCCCGCTGCCACGCCCTCAGAGCAGCCTGCGCTCACCCCTGCAGACCAGGGGCCACGGGCTGACCACTCAGGTGTGCTCAGTTCTCCCATGTAGCAGACACATGGGTGCCCCACAGCCCTCCTCTCAGAGGGGGTGTCCCCCCACCCCCACATGGTGCAGGCCATCTGAACTGCCCCGGCCACAGCCCACCCCCACCCCACCTGGCACTCAGCTTCTGCCTCCTGTGTCTATCAGTCTCCCGAGGCCTCCTGGGGTGCGATGGGCCATGAGCTCCATGAACATGCAGGGCAGGCAGGAGACCTGGCAGAGGGGAGAGGGGCCTTGGGGGCTCCTTGGGGACCTCATCCCCTTTTTGCCTTAAGCTAGTTTAAGAGGGTTTGTGCTACTTGTAACCAAATGGGCCAGACAAAAATATACCATGGCCTTCCCTCTTAGGTCGCAAGCAGGCACCCCCGAAAGCCAGCAGTGGGCCCGCCTCTACGACCAGGCCCTCTGCCCCAGAGCCCAGCTGGCGAAGGAGCAAGGAGCAGCCTCCGGACAGCGGGCCCGTCCGTCCGCTGCCTGACTCACCAGCATGCCCAGCTGTATGGCCAGCATAGCCACGCGGGCCTCCAGCTCTGGTTCCTGCTCCGCCTCCCGCAGTGCTCGCGCTCCGCGTGCATGGCCCATGTTGCCCAAGCACACCTTGGCGACGTCCAGCCGCTGGGTCTTCACACACATGCGTGCCATGTTCTCCCAGACAGCCTCACTGCGATAGAGGACAAGCAGCTCCATTAACTTCCAGCCCCCCAACCTTGGCCCCATCTCGACCAATGCCAGGCAGCGCAGGGGACCGAGGTGGACAGGCAGAGTCATCAAGAAGGGAGACAAATGGGAGTTGAATGGGTTCCATCCACAGAAAACATGGCAAACTAGGGGTCACATACCCCCCAGAAGAAAACGTGTGTGCCCCCCGGGTCCCATGACTGGTGCACGACCTCTCACGGCACCTGCTCCTGAGCAGCCCTGGGACACGGCTCCTTATACCAGGGTCCCTCCCACAGTCCCGGGATTCCTGCATTTCCCCTGCAGTGGACAGGAGGATGCAGTCCCATTAAGAGAGAAGGGCCTTCTTTGTAGGTTGACAAATGCCGTCTCTCTCCTGTCTCAGTAGGTCCATTTGCTCAGCAAACACTGGCTTCTCTTGGCCAGACCCATCACACCCACAGGGGGTCCATGACAGCCCCTCCCCTCCCCTATCCCAGAGCTGGTGGGGTGAGGTCTGGGAGCCTGCAGAGCAAGCTGAGGAGTGGGACCGAAGAGCTGCCCTGCAGGTCCCCAGGACTCCTGGCCCATCCCCACGAGCCTCGTAGTGTCACCAGGCACTCAGCTGGGCGCACCCCATCAAAGGTTCAGGGGCACAGGTTCCTCCTGTTCACTGTAAGGTTTCTGCAGTGTTCACTCCTGATGACACTGACCTGGGCTCCTGCCCCACTCCCTGGCAGGTCCCAGGCTCAGGGTGAGTCTGGAAATGGTTTCAGACCCCGGACGCCACGCTGCAAGAATGATGAGGCTCCACAAAACTCAATCCAGTGTCCTTGCAGGGGCTGCCTGAGAGGACGCTCTCCGGCCCTTCCTTCTGGGTGGTCCTCAGGCCGATTGGCCCTGAGCTCAGACCCAGGCCCTTTCCAAACATCCAGGTGTGAGCTCCACACATGAAGGCAAAGGTTAACCACTGCGCTCACTGCATCATCTCCTGTGGACCAAATGGATGTCTTCCTATCATAAAACCTGCGGTCCGTGCACATGCTTATACACACATGGGCCTGCACACACATGTACATGCATCTGACACTTAGGCACAGGTACGGACAACCACATGCTCATGCACACGCATACCCTTGTAAACAGACTCACACACGATCCCCAGCTGCTCCTCTGGGGCCCTCCCTTCAGATGAAGCCTGGCCTCAGGCAGGGCAGCCCCTGGAGCAGGTGGGCTGGCGCTGCTGCTTCCCTCCCACCTGGGCTCAGCTGAGCAGCACGAGGGACTTGGGCCACTCTGCTCACAGGCTCAGGACAGGGGCCTCTGAGAGGCGCGGCCAAGGTCCTGGTGAGGTAGGGGTGCTCCGTGTGCAGGGCCCAGCTTGTAGCCTCGGTGCCGTGGGCATTTACCTAATGGCCTTGCCTGAGCGTAGCCCAAGGATGGACGAGGGAAGGCTTCCTGACATGGACATAACTGGGGTGAAAACAGCTCCTGAGATGGGAAGCTGGGAGTCTGTCCAGTGGGATGGGCCTCACTGTGGGTGTCTGTGGTCTCAACGCTACACAGCTAGGTGCCCTTTCCTGCGAGCAAACGTATACTTCTGTATGTTTTTGGCTCTACGTGGGTCCTGCTGGAACTTTTTAAAATCCACTAGATGTAACTACGGAGGGACGGCCGAAAGGGCAGGGGTGACGCGCCCCAGGTGTGGCCATGGCCTGGCTGAGACAGGCCTGTGAGAGGGGACGTTGGAGCTCAATCCCCTTTGGTAACCTCACAGGGGCCTTCCCACAGCGCTGAGGAACAGGACCCGGCAGTGACTTCTGGGGTTGGAGCCACTGGTAGAGCTTTCAATGGGCAAAAGCCACCCCGCAATCCACTCCTCTCCTTCGGACTCGGATGAACAGGTGCTGAGAGCAGAAGCTCAGGGGCGGCCGCTGTCTCTTGCCCGGGCCAGCCATGCTGCGGCGACATCCGAGTCAGCCCCTCCTGCCCCTTCCCCATCCAGTGGCTTCAGGCAAGAAATCACCTTCCCTGTACCACACGCCCTTCCTTACAGTAAGCGGAAAATCGAGCTTGTCTCCCTCGTCCTCATGGGCTAGTGGGAATGCACGCAGAAGCACCACGGGTGGGAAGCCAGTTGTCTAGAAACACACATCTGGATGCAGCCTGGGGCCACCCCTCCTGCGGCGGGGGCTCGCTGGGGCCCTGGGGGTCTAGGAGGCAGCGTCGGACCCAGCGATGAGGCTTTCCGACATACCGCTCGCGGGTCCTGGAAATGACAGCGAGTAAGGCACCACGTCCTGGCTCCAATCTGGAATCTCACCCACAGCTCCTAGTCAATTCTGCACAATCTCTCCACTGACGGGCCTGGCAGGAGTTGTCACTTCTCCTCAGAGGCTGCTCATTCCCTGTTAAAAACGCCTCAGTGCTTCCAAGGTTTGGCCCCCGAGTGGGCGTGGGCAGCCCTGGGCAGTGGGTAGCAGTCTGGCGTTTGGGCTCATCCTGGCCTTCCGGGCTGCTGTGCAAGACCCTGGTTAGACATGCCCTCCCCCCTTTTAAATATCTTTATTGATTTCAGAGAGGAAGGGAGAGAGAGAGAGAAGAAGAGAAACATCAATGATGAGAGAGAATTATTGATAGCCTGCCTGCTGCACACCCCCTACTGGGGATCGAGCTCCCAACCCGGGCATGTGCCCTTGACTGAAATCGAACCGTGACCTCCTGCTTCATGGGTCAAGGCTCAACCACTGAGCCACATAGGCTGAGTGACACGGGGCCTTTTATGCTCCCTTTCCAAAAGATGTCACATGATTGGAACCTCATTTAAAATACTCTATGGCAAGGGTGTAAGAGACCAGTGCGAGGGTGATGATGGGGGCTGAGGGTGACCTCTTCTGTCCCCTCCCCCTTCCCTCTGCCTTGCCTTGAAAGCAGATGGTTGGTATCTGAATCCAATTAAACTGGAAAGCAACCTGTACAAGCAGAGACCTGGGAGCCACGGATCGGCTCTCTCCCAGCGGGCAGACCTTCGCGTCTCCCCGTGCAGCGGCTGTGTGCTTTGCCGGTACCGAGCGCTCTCGGGAGAAGAGGACGGGCCCTGTTGACCTGACTGGGGTTCGTGGTGCCTCCCTGGACTAAAGAAGCATCGGACATGCTGTGTGCACGTATGTGACAAAGGGCTCTGTCCTTGGATTTAAATCTCCACCAAGTGGAAGCTCGAGAAAGCGTGTGCTGGAAGCACATCCTTGTGTGTCCCGCTGGGCCGGGCTGCCCAAGCGACCCACAGCGGGCAGGCGCCTCCCCACACAGCTGAATGCGGGACAGCGAGAACGTCGGCCCAAAGGCCCGCCGAGTCCTTGGCTGGCCCCCAGCACAGCATCAGCACCAGCTGCCTCTCCATGGGCAGCTCCAGCTCCAGTGTGCGTTTCTGGGGTTTGTGCACCCAACATACACCCCAAGAAGCAAACACGGCCGGTCTCCATCCAAGCACTGAGTTTCCTGTTGTCTGAGCCAGTCCGTGGACAGCACACACATCTGCACTGCATCAACTCAGAGAGACGCCTGCGCGCGAGGCGAGGCAGCCGGGCAGCCGAGGGGCCGGCCTGGATCCCGCCCAACTTTCTGGAAAGCCTGTCCTCCGAGAAGCTGCTAGAACCCGCCCCAGAGGCCCCTCTTCTCAGCTGCTCCATGGAGACCCCCTGCCAGAGCATGGATGACTGGAGGATTAACGGCCTCATCTTCTGCCAGCAGCACACACTCTGCTGCCAAATCTCCCCGCCTCTCTGCTCTAAGATAAGCAGGCCTGTTTGCCCGTGTGCGGGAACGGGAGGCACTCGCGGGCGCTGCCCTGGACCCCACGCAGGACCCAAGATCAGGAACTCTGGAGGACAGGAAGGCCATGGCCCGGCTTCCATCCCCCACAGGACCCCCACGGTCACAGGATGGACAGATGGATGTTGGGGGGTGTCCTCTGAGAACAGGGTCACTCCTAACTCAAGTCCAGCAGCTACCCGGCCTGCTGCTCTCCCTGCCCCACCCCCTCCACCACGAGCCAGAATCCGGGGGAGTGACTGAGGGGGCAGGGCCTGACAACCCCACAGAGTCCCTTGAGGATCCTGGAACCTTCCCTGCCCAGCCCTGGAAGCAGCTGGATGGAGCTGGCCCAGTGGCTGCTCCGTAGGCAAGCGGAGCCAGAGCTTTGTTTCTGAGACCATGTGCTGCTTTTTGTCAGAAACGAGCCCTTTAAAGCCTCGCTAAGAATCCGTGATTTACATCCACAAGGCGGGGAGTTGATCCTCGGGAAAACTGCCTTTTCAAGGCCTCGACCTACTGCTCTGTGCACTCAAGGCCTCCCGAGAGAACGGGCTGCCTGTGGGAATGAGGGCAGACCAAACTGTCAGGCCCTCCCCCATCCAGTCCCGGGAACCGAGAGGCAGGACCACAGGGAAGGGGGTGGGAACAGCAGCTTCGCTCCTGGCACAAGCCATGGAAAGTGGGGAAAAGCCTAAAATAGGTCAAATTCCTCAGAGAATTTGGACAGACGTTTCTTGAGACCAAGACACCCTGCCTTTCAGGAATGCAGACTTAGTGGGGTGGGCAGCCTCACCCTGTGTGCGGCACCCACCGGCCCCATGCGGTACCCAGGGGCCCTGAGCACACCTGGGACGGATAGCACCCAGGGCCAGGGCTTCCACGGCTGGGAACTCTCCGGAGCTCCAGAAGTGGGGAGGTGAAAGGTGAGGACTGGGGAGACCAGACCAGCTGACCCCCGCTGAGGTCATCGCATCATCTCTGTGACCTCTCTGAGCCCCAACTTTCTCTCCTGTGAGGGTACTGGTGGTCCCTACACCTTGGGGCAGCGCGTGAAGACAGTGAACAGTCAAGGCACGTGCTGTACTCCCTGGAGCTCAGGGGGTTCACGTTGTCGGCAAAAGCCCACGGACCAGGCTGCCGACGTTCCTTTTCGCTCATACAGCTGCTCTGGGGCCTCGGCTGGCTGACTGCCCTGCACTGGGCGGGGTCTCTGAGGTGATGGCACAGACCCTCCCGCTGTGTTGGTCGGCGGGTCCGGAGGGGTTTGAGCAGCACAGATGAAGGCCTGCAGAAGCCCCAGCAGCTGACGGCTCAGCTCGAGGTCCAGCACACACCACCGTGACGGACCTGGTCCCTTATCCGCTGTGCAGGCTGACATTCCCATCAGCAGCAAACAGCCCAGGCCAGACCCCACATGCAGTCCCCTTCAGGCCTCGCTGGGTGCCCTGTGCGGAATGTCCAGAGCGCCACCTTCTCCTATCTCAAGGATGTCGTCCTGGTCTGGTAGTTCTCCAAGGGAGTCCCTGGCCCGCCAGATCTAGGCAGTAAGTGGGTCTGAGCTGGGACACGAAGGCCCGTCTCAGGGGGCCCTCTACCACGCCCGGCCCTCCTCTGCTGCTCTCCCCTTTGAGCGTTTCCCTCCTCCACCTGCACGTCCCTGGGACAAGGGCGGAGCTGGCACACCGTGGGCTGGCAGTACCTCTGTGCTGAGGAACAACGGAGGGCTGGGTGGGCGACTGGTCACCAGCGTGCTGCCTGCCCTGACCCTCCTGCCGCTGTCCCAGACCCAGCACGGGAGACTGCCTGGAGCGCTGGGGGCAGCACCCGAGTGCCAGGCTGGCCACGGCCCAGACAGACAGGTGGGCCCGTGGTCCTGTTCTGGGCCAGCACCCCAGCCCTCCCTTTTGGAAAGGAAGATGGGGAGGAGCCGGGGAGGAGGGTCATGGAGCAGGACTTCAGAAGGCCCCCCTGCCTTTCCTATCAGGAAACACATCCTGTTAGTGTCTGGCCGCTGCACAGGCAGCTATTTGTTGCAGTTGGCTACGCCCTCCAGCTCACCAAAAACAGCCTCAAAAACAACCATTTCCTCTCTGCTGAGACACAGGGGGAGAATGCACGCGTGCGCGGGCGCGCACACACACACCGACACACTCACATACTTCCCCACAGCAGGCTCTCTGCTTTCCAGGACCAGCCGTTTCGTGTTGGAGGCACCAGGCAGGGGCTCAGACAGCACAGAGGCTGCTCAACCCGCACTGCTCCCCGCGGCCCTGCTCAGTGCCTGCCTACCGCACGGGCTGTGCTCGGAGCGCAGCTGGTTGTAAGGAGTGAGGCCGCTGACACCACGCTGCTGCCTGTCTCTCCTCTCCCGTCACTCTGTGTTCTCCCGCGTGGGGGACAAGAGGCTGCCCGTCTCCCTGGGCCTCTGCTCCCCAGGACGACGGCGCATTCAGGACTCTGGGCTCTCGCTGGTGCCCTGTTTCCTTCTCGGGATGGGCCACGCAGTCGCCTGCAGAGCAGGTCTGTCCCTGCTCCAGGTGCAGGAAGGCGGGTAAGGAGGACCGTGAGGTGGGCTCACCGGCACCTGTTGCACGGGCCTTCCCAACCCTCCAAGAATGAACGGTGATGTCCTCTAGCCGCCCCTAGCGCGTCTTGGTTCTCCCAGGCCACAGCAACTGACCAGGACCGGGACTTTCTCCACAAGCGGTTGGCACCAGCCGTCAGTGATGACTGTCCAGAAACTGGTGGCCACCGCCGTGCTGGTGGCCCTGGTCTCTCTCATCCTCAACAATGCGGCAGCCTTCACCCCCAACTGGGTGTACCAGACGCTGGAGGACGGGCGCAAGCGAAGCGTGGGGCTCTGGAGGTCCTGCTGGCTGGTGGACAGGGCCCGGGGCGGGCCGAACCCCGGGGCCAGGCCCGGACAGGCGGACACAAGGGAGTGCGAGGCCCTGGGCTGGGGCTCTGAGGCCGCAGGCTTCCAGGAGTCCAGAGGCACCGTCAAACGTAAGTGCTCGCTTTCCTGTCTCCTTTAGGGCGGTAGGGCCCGCTGGCCCTGCGAGGCATGCAGACGACATGGGTGGAGTGTTTGCTGACGGGTGGGGGGTGCTTTGGTCTGAGGAGCAGCGCTGGCTCTTGGGGAACCAGGGGGGCCCCCGAGCTCCATGCCCACCCTCCCCTGGCAAGCCACAGGCACACTTCAGTCCTCCTCAGCTCAAGCCAGCCTGTCCTTCACGACAGAGCTCTCCTCACGCAGCAGTGGGCTTTTCTCGGGCGTACACACGCTAAAGAGCAAATGCATTAACCAAACCAAGAAACATACATTTTTTTTTCCTGGTGGAAATTAAGATGGTTAACGAGAAAAATAAACAAGAAGCTGAAGGACACATGGCTGAGTTCTGACTTCATTCCACAGTGGTCAGGGTGGTGACGGCGGTAGGCAGCCCAGGGGAGACCCAGGAGGGCTGACTGTGGGTGGGACACCGGCCCGCTGCAGCGCCCGGCCCCCCTGCCCCTCCGTGGCGTCGCGGGCCCTGGCTGGCCACGCGGAGCACTGGGTCTGTCCCTGCTCGGGAAGCTGGGAACCCGACTTTGAAAGTAGGGTCAGGTTTGCGTGTCCCAGAGGGAAGGGTTCACCTACGCAGCCACGGTGGCTGATGGGCGAAGTCTCCCAGTGACCGAGAGGGTCTAACTCGCAGGTGGGTGCCATCCGTTCTGAGGACCAAGCGTGTCTCTAAGGAAATGTGACACACACGAGGCTGCAGCGGGGCCTCTGCTAGATGCTGTCGAGGGGTCCCCAAAGTCTTCAAGCAACGCCAACATGCGAGGTGCCCGCTGGGTGGCTGTTCCCAACTGCTGTGGCTCAGAACCCCGGCCTGTGAGGGAGCCCGGGGGGTGGGGGTGGCGGGGAGGATGTCGTCCCATTTCATAGGCAAAAACCGGAGGCTGCAGGAAGCACGGGCTCAGCCGAGGTTCCTGGGGGCACGCAACCCACTCTGTCTCCTCAGAGTCCCGCACCACAGCCCGAGGGGGTGTCTGTCCGAAGGGTGGCTATCTGCCCGGCAAGTAGGGAGCAAAACGTCTCTTTAATAGACCAAGTGCACGAATGACTTCAGACTTTTCTATGAGCTCTCAGAACTCAGGAGTCTGTGGGGAACTGGACAGAGGCAGATGGACTGGGGTGTCTGTAACTGGCTGGTCGAGAACAATCCTTCCGGTAGGGGACTGTCCTGAGGAGCAACGGAAGCCAGTGGCCCAGCATGGGAGGGGGAGCCCTGGGCCTCAAGGACTCCTGCCACAGTCCCCCATGCTGACTAGGTGCCCTCCCTGTGTGTCTACTCCCCCTGTCCCCATGCTAAGGACTGGTCACCTCAGGCCAGGAGGACCCACAGGGGTCCTCCTGACCCCCACACAGCCAGCCCACGCTGCGCTTCCCTCCTGCCCTGCCACATGTCCTGAGCAACCCCACTCACCCGCCCTGGTTTGCTGTCCGTCCCAGATCACCTGTTAAGCTCCCTGACCAACTTTTTTCCGTTAATCCTCACCTGAGGATAATTTTTCCATTGATTTTTTTAGAGAGAGTGGAAGGGAAGGAGGGGGGAGAGAGAAAGAAACATCGATGTGAGAGAGACACATCAACTGGTTGCCTCCCACATGCACCCCAAGTACGTGCCCTTGACTGGGAACTGAACCTGTGACCCTTCAGTATGCAAGCTGACACTCTAACCACCGAACCACACTGGCCAGGGCCTGACCAACTTTTAAAATATCCTCCTGCCATTACTATGGTGCCCGTGGCAGCTACCCTTAATGGATCTCTGAGCATCAGATATTTACCCAGAACAAGGGAAATGTCTACAGAAGCTTCTCTTGAGCAACTATGAATTGAGCAAAGTGAGCCCACTTCACACCAGGTCCCTGTGACATGAACAGGGAGCCGCAAGCCGGCATCCTGGCCCTGGTGGCCTGGAGCCGGGGCTTCCCCCACCTTAAATCAAGCCAGAGCCCAGTTCCATTAGCTCCTATGAACAACCCAGCCCACGCGTTGCCCACAACCTAGCCGGGCACAGAGACTGGGAGGAAGAAGCAGGGAGTGCTTGGGCGATGCCTGCTGCCTCTGCATGAACACCTCCACACCAGCCAGTTGTCGCTGTCAAATGATCCTGTCCGTCCGTGATGGGGCGGTGGGGTCTGGGTTGCGGAGCTGACGTCTGGTGCACAGTTCAATCCCGAGGACCCATCTAGGGACGCCAAGGGGACGCGCATGTCCCTGGTCACACATCACTGGTCCTGCTTCGCCCAGAGAGCCAGGCTGCCCTAGAGATCCCAGACCTTGCGCAGGCAGCCAGGGCAGCGGCTGGGGACAGCAGGAAGCTCCGGGCAGCTCTGAGCCAGCGGTCCTGGCGACGCCCTGTGGCAAACATCTGGAGGACACATAACTCGATCCCTTGGTCAGGGATGTTGTGCTGCTGGGTGTGCTGAGCAAACTGGGCAGGGGCACAGGGGCCAGTCCAGGTCCTCCAGCTGCCCTCAGATCCAGTGGGCCGCCTTGAGGATGCTTGCTGGGCAGGACGCAGCGATCCTGACTTTTATTACGGACCAGGTGGCTTTTTCCTTGCTGTGAGGTTTGGGGGGAACATGGGAGACTTGAGGGCCCCCTTTGGCTCCCAAAGAGATCTCACAACCTAACTCCGGTGTCCGTCTTACTCTGGTCCTGTTTTCTCCGTCATTTTTCATCTTTCCGTATTTCATGCATCCTGTCAGGCACCTGATGCTTTTTTTCTGAAGCGAGCTGTATCATGAATAAACATAATTAAATCCTGGATACATGCCCTGCCCATTAGCGATTTGATGCTCTCCGGCCCCAGGTGGGGGGCCTGCGTCTCCCTGGAAATGTAGGTGGATCGGGTGTGTACCACTGCTGCCCGGCCAGGTGACATCCGTGCCACATTCACATTGGGCTCCTTAACAGCCAGGCCCTGGCTCTGGCTGGTGTGGCCCCTTTGGTTGGGCATCGTCAAGTGCACCAGGAGGTTGCTGGTTCGATTCCCAGTTAGGGCGCAGGCCTGGGTTTCAGGCTTGATCCCTGTTGGTGGTGGTGGTGGGGGGAAGTGCAGTTGGCAGCTGAGCAATGTTTCGCTCTCACATCAGTGTTTCTCTTTCTCCCTTCCACTCTCTCTAATATCAATAAAAATATATTAAAAAAATTTCAGGTCCTGCTGCCCAGGCTATGACATAGGCAGTGTTAGAACCTGTAGGACGCCTGGGCATGGTGGGTGCCAGCCTCCGAGGGAAGGGAGTACGGCTCAGAGAGGAGTCTCCTCAGGCCGCATGGCGAGTCTCTGAGCGTCATGTTCCATCCTTTAAGCCTCTGCACATCTGCAATAAGGATCCTCAAGGACTTGGGCAGGGCCTAGGTGGTGGCTTGTGAGCTTGGGGACGCCACCTGGAGCCCCTGCTGGGTGTGCAGCGCAGGGCTGTGCACACAGAGCTGCTAGAAGGACGAAGCTGGATGCCCGGGTGGGCAGGGCAGCAGGCGGAACACGGGGAGGGATCGGCCAGGTCCCTGGTGCTGAGCTCCTGGCTCTCCCAGCCTCGGTCATGTGGTCACACTGCACCAACACGTGCTCCCTGGTGCCCGTGTCCACCCCAGGCCACTCCCCTCCTCAGCCAGCAGTTCATTCAAGTCTTTCCTCACCTGCAAGGCCGAGCCTGGGAAACCGGACGGACTTCTCCGGGTCTGGCTGTTAACCTCCGTCATGTCTAACACCCTCATCTATGAGGTCACTTCCGCCCCCTAAATTCTACATCTTTTAGAGAAGCAGAGCCTCTGTACAGTCATATAAATGGCAAAAATAATTGCAAAGATAATCAGTGTGAAGAAGGAGGCAGGAGCCCCAGCCTCAGCCTTGGGGGAGGGGAGGAAATCGCAGACCCCGGTGAGCACACGCCCCTGTGCTAAGGCTCAGAGCACTGCGGCCTCTCTCCGCCCCGTGTCTGCTCCTTCCTCCCAGCCCTGGACCCACCGCCAGACCAGGCCTGGCCCTGCTGGCACACTGGAGCTCCCCAACCTCGCCCAACCCCTGCCTCCTGGTCCTGTGAAGGGCTTATATCAGTGGTCGGCAAACTCATTAGTCAACAGAGCCAAATATCAACAGTACAACGATTGAAATTCCTTTTGAGAGCCAAATTTTTTAAACTTAAACTATAGGTAGGTACATTGTTATTAACTTAATTAGGGTACTCCTAAGGCTTAGGAAGAGCCACACTCAAGGGGCCAAAGAGCCACATGTGGCTCGCGAGCTGCAGTTTGCCGACCACAGTCTTATAGTGATGGCAGTTGTTTCTGTGATTGCTCTGAAGACTCCAGATTGTGAGCTCAATCATGGGGAAGTACAGCCCACCTGGGTAGGGGCTGTGCCTGCAGAAAAGTGATTGAGAGAGCAGGACCCACGGTGCTCAGGAAGGTGAAAGAGTTAATTTGGTGGTGACTGTCATGCATCTAGTGGCATGTTCTCTCTCGTTCTCTCTCTCTCTGCCCTTGGCCCTCGGTTCTGGGATCTCCTAGAATCTGCTCTTACTTCCCAGAAGCAGTGCCTCTGCTACTGTCCTCTGGCATCCATCTGGCCTCAGAGCCAGTGGTGCCACCCCCAGGCCAGGGCACTGGGAGGAGGCCTGGGACTGGGGAAGGGGAAACCCTTCAGGCTGAGAATGACAGATGGATGGAAAGAAGGAAGCAGCTGAGACACAATGGGGAGGAGGAGCGCACCCTCCATGGCGGGAAGCGGCACAGCACCTCCACTCGACTCAGGCTGCACAAGCCCAACTGTGACTGTCACCTGGCAGGGACAGGGAGCCACAGAAACCCTCGCCACCTGACATGGGCGGGGGGCGGGGGCCCCGGAGGCTGACAGACCTCACTTGGCTCTGTGGTGGCCACCTTAACTGCCCAGAAGGGTCGCCGGGAAGGGACCTGATGCCCCTGCCCCTGGCCTTTGCGGGTCACCCACAGCACTGCTCTGTGCTCCCTCTGCCCTGTGTATATGTCCCTTGGACCTCACTCCTGGACTGGGTGCGGGTGGGGGAGCAGAGTGCACGGAGCCTGGGTTGGGGGGCAGAGGGAGCTCAGTGAGGCTGTCAGTGCAGACAGAGAGGGATGAGCCCCAGGAGGAGAGAGAGACGCACCCTGAGCCGCCCGCCTGCGCTGACCACCTGCCTTCTTTCCTCTTGGACCCTCCAGTGCAGTTCGACATGATGCGAGCCTGCAACCTGGTTGCCACGGTGGCCCTTGCTGCGGGCCAGCTCACTTTCATCCTGGGGCTGACGGGCCTGCCCCTCATGTCGCCGGATTCCCAGTGCTGGGAGGAGGCCATGGCTGCTGCGTTCCAGCTGGCGAGTAAGTACCCCTGGGCCCTGAGGGGCAAACCAGCGGCAGCTTCTGTTGGGGCTGGAAGGCCCACGGTGGCCTCCTACTGCCACAGCGGCCCCTGGGTCACCCTCCTGCCCCACCCGTCCCTGGGGGCAGGAGCAACGGGAACGTGCACACGGGATAGGGCGTGGGAGGATCTGAGCAGAGTGGTTTTGTATCTCCAGCGTGGCCCTCGGCCCTTTTCCATTTTGAGACAAGGTGCTGACTCGGAGATGACGTGCTGTCTTCCAAAGTCTTCAGCATCTAGCATTTTCTCTACCCCTTGCGGGCCGTGTGGCGGTGGCCTGGGTTCACGCCCTCCTGAGGGTGCAGCAGCCGGAGGAGGGGTGCAGCAGCCTGCCCTGGGCAGGGGGCGAGTGCCATCTGAACCTATGCCTGGTGAGAGGAGGCAGCCCCGCTTTTCTGCAGGGCAGCCAGGACCAGAGCCACCAGGGACTGAGCCTCTGGGACAACTTGGAAGCCGCCACAGCCCCGGGGGGTGGCTGGAGGGTGAAGTGGGGCTGGGCATGAGCACACCTTGTGGTCTCGGGTGCGAGCGGTGGTGTCAATGGTGGAATTGCTCCGAGGTGCCCTGGTGGCCGTGGAGGCACCGTGAGGGGCCGCTCTGCTGGTTTCTCTCGGCCTCTGCTCCTTCTTGCTGGCTCGGGGTTAACCACCGTGGAAACCGGGGATGTTCAGGCTTTCCACTACCTACCGGGGAAAGGTTCGGCCCGTGGTCCCAGGGGGAAGAGGCTGACGAAGGGGCCGGGGCAGGAGACACTAGTAGCTGACGTGCCTGGCGGAGAATGGCAGCTTGTCCCAGTGTTGAAGGTGCAGTTCCAGCGAGCCCAGTGGAAGGAACGCTGGGAAGTCCGAAGTGAATCATTCTAGGAATAATGGGTCCCAGCCCCATCCTTCGGGAGAACAATTCCCAGCAGGAGGCTGAGGCTGGCAGGTGTTCGTGTGCGGGAAGCGCCTGGGTGTGAATCGGAAGGGCCTCCTGCGCCCTGAATGGGAGGTGGTGTGGTCCTGAGCAGGTCCCTGCCCCAGGCTGGACGCAGCAGGGGCAGCTGAGGGCCGACCGGAGGAGAGCGCGGGGTTTGGCGCGAAGGGGACTGGATTGTATCTTGGCTCCATCATTTATTATCCATGTGACCCAATCCACACCTCAGTTTACCCAACTGCAAAGCAGGGAGGAAGTCTGCCCCGCACTGGGCTGATTCTGAGA